GCAGGGTCAACGTTTTGAGATGACAATGAAAGGGTTAACAGCTAGAGATGGCAGAGCGAGAGTCAAAGTCTTGAGATGACAGTGAAAGGGTTAATGGCTAGAGATGGCAGTGAAAGGGTCAACGTTTTGAGATGGCAGTGGAAGGGTTAACATCTCGCCAACAGACACTAACGTTTCAACGTTCGAAGCCATCCATCACCCTCCCTGGTTAAGGAAATGTTTACACATGATTTCTTAATTAATTATTCGGAGAGTGTCGGTTGTCCTATTTTTATTTCTTGGTCTCTAAAACGCAGAGGTAAAAAAACAGGTGCTATTAACTCTTTTCATGCCAATGAAAAAAACAACAAACACACACACAAAAAGCACACACAGCCCCCCCCCCAAAAAAAACAACTAAAAAAAACAAACAACAAAACAAAACCAAACCCAAAAAATAAAAGGTCAATCTATTGCCCAAATCTAATATCTGAGCCTTTTAGGAATTAGACAATTGGATTAAAAAAAAAATTATTTTGATCCTCTTGTACTTTATTCCTTTTGTTTTCATTTTGAAATACATTAGCCAGTGTCTACTTTACTTGATGAAATAAATAGGTCCGGTAACTTCCTCTCCGAACTTCACCTTCGGCCTGTTATATTTACTCCACACTGGTCGTGGGTGAAACATGGAGACCCTCCCTGACACGGAAAGAGTTAATGGTCTACTTAAAGGAAGGGAACAAAAAACACAGAAGCGTTCTTAAAATAGGTTTTTTTATTTCATGCTGTAATAAATTTCATTTCAGGAGAGGAAAAACGGTGAAGGCGGCTCAGTTTGGATTTGTTCCCTTTTCTATTCCCCTCCCCATTTCCCCACATCCTTTCCCTTTTTCTTTCCCTTATTTGTTTGTTTTCAGTCCTGTTTATAACTCAGCTGAGATAAACATTAATGTAAATGTTCCACATTGAATTGCCTAGTCGACGTGTGGCACAGCCTCTCAACTGTCTCGTTGTTTCAGTAGTCTAGTGGTTACGCTAATAGACTCGTAATCGCGAGATTGCTGGTTCGGGGGTTGGAAGTTTAGTTCTTTCTGATGTGTCTTTGAGAAAGGCACTTTACTCAAATTTTCCCATTTGGCTCGGCCATGTAGAACAAGGACGTTAAAGTAAGAGGCCTACGCCGCCTCTTATATAAACTTACAGTATTGCAATGGAGGTTCAACTGTTATTTCGAGAGGTACACTTCTTTAAGATGTGCGAAATGTTGTTGTTGTTGTTGTTGTTTTTGTTGTTGTTGTTGTTGTTGTTGTTGTCTTTTTTTGTTAAGCGTTTTACGGCCCTTGCAACTCATAAGGTCATTTGAGCGTGCGGGACACATTAAACATTTTCAGTTGGTAGGAAACTTAGAATTTTTACCCGGGTGAGAGCCAAAGCCTACTTTATCGATTTGGACCACCAAGGGATCTTTAACGTGCGTAACTTGCACACGGGGCCTCCGAGATTTTTCGACGTTTTCAGATAAGGATAGGTGTAGAGCTTACCTAGCATAAGATCAGGGGTGTGGCTGGTAGAGAGCCATGGAGTAGCAGTGGAAAAGGCTGCAGGAAGAGCCAGGGGCCAGGAAGGGCGTAAAGGAGGTGAGGGGTGGGAGCAGAAAGTGAAGACGAAAGTAGACGACACAACATTGTTAGAGAGCAGGAAAAGATGGGAAAGGAGTAAATTTTTAGAGAAAACATTTTCCATCAGTATCCAGATTCCAACCCGGGGCATGGAGGCAAACACCTTAACCTACAGACCTCGAGAGCCCCCGCACGATGTTGTAGGCTACATCTAACAACCCCCCCCCCCCCCAAACCAACAGTGCAATAAAACCGTAATCGCCTGCAGAGCTGGCTGTCGAGTTGCCCTTACAGTTATTAATTAATTGAGACTCCATTTGGATTGCAATTTTTCGGTACCTCTCTTTTAATGAATAACCCCCCCCCAAAAAAAAACAAAAACAAACAACAACAACAACCAAGTGGTTAGCCGACTAGACTGCCAGTCTAGCCGTACTTAGATCTAGGTTTGGCCCTATCGACTCAAACCTGTTGAGTACACAGGTCACATTAGATCTAGATCTAGTAGTTATTCAGGTTTAAAATACACGCAAGTCAGTAAGGCACCTTTTGGTTTTGTCTGAAATACAAATATTTTGGGCTTTGCAAACTAAACATTCATTTACAATTCAGCGATCAATTTTAAGTACGGCTAGCCTACCAGTCTAGC